AGCCCTCAACATCACTGCTAGTAAGTAACAGGATTCTTTTTCTTAAAACCCTTCAGATGGCACCAGGGCAAATTCCACAGTGCATTTATGAGTCAAGGGACAGTATCTCCATGTGAGAGATACCAATTTGGCTGGAATTTCTAGATGGCTTTCCCACTATAGGAATCCAAGCAAACCATTGTCATTCTTCCCTCTCTAGCAAAAGAAAAGAAAATCTCAGCCTTTAGAGCATTCATTCTGGCTCAAGAACAGGGTTTTCTTTCCTGGAAACAAGGACTGGCTCAGTGAGACCTCGAAAGTTGGTGCTTTGTGGTGTTGCCAAAATGCTTGTTGCTGGCAAGCAATGGAAGGAGGTTTCACTCTTGATGCCCCTCAGAGTGAAACAACACATTCATTATTTAATAATTATTCAGCAATGGAGAAATTTTAGCCCAAGAAAAAACTGAACTTAGACAACTTCACTAGTAGGAGTATTTTAAGAATTATAAACAGAAATCAGATTACATTAAATAGTGAGTTTCTAAGCTGAGTACAAGATAAATTGCCTAACAGGCTGAATAGGGAAATAAAGAACTTAGTTGTGGATTCACAGTCTTGGCATGAGTCTGTAACTGGTAGCACTGGGTGAGCCCATTTCCTGTGCCCTCCAGCCTAAGGCCTCACAAGCACCTCAGCACCTGGATGCTCCTAGGACCCTTCTGTTACCAGCCCCATGTGCTGGCAATAACTGAGGCAACAGTGAGAATGACCCAAATAAAGGAGTCAGAACTATAACATGGCACATAATTCAGTTTCTTCCAGGCCTCAGCAATAACCATTTTGTATCCATAACTTCTCCTAAGAGATTTTATTTCCCAAGTAATCACCTACTATAACAGTCTCTAAGATCCCTGGGAAGGCTGAGGCTACTTCAGGTGGTCCATTAGATCAATCTATTTCCATAATCACACCAAGATGCCATTTACCTTTTTCACTGTATTGACAACTGCACTGATGATGTCAAAGCAATGGTGACAAAAACTGCTGACACCTTAGCACAATTCAAGGCAGTAGCACCAAATTTCATTAATATTTATTATATTCTTTACTGCCACACATTTCATAGTACTCAAAAAAAAAAATCCCTGCCAGTTTGAGTGTCCTCAATGAAGCTGTGATAACTACTCATTTTATTATATCTCAACCCTGAAGTATACATGTTTTTAATATTCTGAGTTATGAAATGGGAAACATGCATAAAGCACATACATCTATTGCATATGAAGGTATAATACTTGTCTCAAGGAAAAGCACTTGTGCAGTTGTTTGTGTTACAAGCTAAACTAGCTGTTTTTGTCAAAGAATATAACTTTTACTTGAAAGAATAGCCACGAGACAAGCTGCAATTATTCATACTTGGGTATTTGGCAGGCATTTATTAATTGAATAAATGTACTATATTCAGTATATCAACAAATGCTTTTGGTTGCAAGAACAGAAATGACTAACAGTAAGAAAATTACACCTCATAACTAGAAGTCAAGAGACAAAAGAGCTCAACAACGTCATACGATTCAGGTGCTTTCCATCCCTCTGCTCTGACACCTCAGTGTTGGCTTTCCTCTTGTTGCAGGTAGCAAGATGGAAGCAGCCTGTCCAAGGCATTATGTTTAGGCAGGACAATGTCCTGACCAAAAGAGATTATTTTCCCCTCCTGTGGCTTTCTCTTAGAGAAAGGGACACTTTTTCTAGATTGCCACTGCAGACTCATTTCATTGACCTGAATTTTGTCACATGTCTATCCCTAAACTAATCCCTGGCTAGGGGAATGGAATATGCCTTTGAACTAATCAGGCCCAATATAGGGTCTACAGGTGGGGTCAAGTTTCCCTGAGGCAAAGGCCTGGTGGCTGAAGGGCTGATCACCCTTCAAAACAAAATTAGGGCTTTGTTAACTAGGAAGAAAAAAGGGAGACTAGAAGAAACCTGTAGGCAATCATATAGGGACCACTCCATTCAGTAAATGAAGGTCTAGAAAAGTGGTTACCAAATGCGGGTCAGCAGCCAGGCTACAAAGGAATCACCTGGGAACTTGTTAAAAATATAGCTCAAACTGTAATGTGCATATGAATTGCCTAGGGATCTTGTTAAAATACATATTCTGCATTTGCAGCAAGTTCCCAGAAAACACAGTCACTGCTGACTTATGGACCACACTTTGAGTAGGAATGATACAGACCTTCCACTTCAAATTACTGACTTGGAATCTCCTGAGTGATCCTAGTTTAAGAACTGGGTTCAATGTGGTAAACATCAACAATGCACAAGATCGGCATTCATTCATTCATTCATTCATTCATTCAATCAATAAGTATTCATAGAAACAAGCCCTGTGCTTACTGCTGAAACTACAAAGGGTCCACATGCTACTGGGGAGGAGTGGGCTGACCTATATACAGATATCTTTAATGTAAAGTGAGAAGGGCTCTAGTAGAGATATGCACAAAGTTTTCTGCCATCCATCAAGGAACAAGGAGTGACTTAGTGAAGGTGGGCTTGACAGGAAATGTTTCACAGAAAAGGAGAGACATTAGAGCTGAGCTTTCCTTAGGTGCCCAGAGACAGACAATGTGTGTGCAAGAAAGCCCAGAAATATAAATGAGCCAAGCACATTCAGGGAACAGTGAGAATGTCTCTGTGGCTTATGTACAGGCTGACATGGGGTGGGAGAAGGAGGAGCTTTTAAAAATCCTGATGCCGGCCAGGCACTGTGGCTTATGCCTGTAATCCCAGCACTTTGAGAGGCTAAGATGGGTGGATGGCTTGAGCTCAGGAGTTCAAGACCAGCCTGGGCAACATGGTGAAATCTCATCTTTACGAAAAATACAAAAATTAGCCTGGTATGGTGGCACGTGCTTGTAATCCTAGCTACTTAGGGGGCTGAGGCAGGAGGATCCCTTGAACCTGGGAGGTGGAGCTGCAGTGAGCCAAGGTTGCACACTGCACTCTAGCCTGGGTAACAAAGTGAGACTGTCTCAAAAAAAAAAAAAAAATCCTGATGCCCAGGCCACACCCAAGAGCAATTAAATTCTACTTTCTTTAGGGGAACAGGAAGGAGGAATGTAGGCATCAGTATCTTTTAGAGGAGAAAGCTGAGAACCACAGCTTTACAACAGCTAGTGCCTGCCTGACCTGTTTGCATAGAGCACGTTCTTCAATAAGGATAGAGCCCTTCCTTCCCAAATGTACTTTTCATTTCCATTTGATATTCAAAATCAGAATTATTAAAAAGCGTTTTGGCCCCAGAGGCCACGTGATGGGCACTGAAATGGAACTCCCCTGCACCAGGGCCTGTGGGATGCAGGCAAATGAAGCCTGCCCTTTGTTCCCCTGCCTGCATTGGTGAAAGCTGATCCCTGTGAGCCTCTGTCACTGGGCAGAGGGCACGTTTTTCTCTCGCTAGCTAGCCTAGACCACAGGGATCTTTGAGTAGAAATATCTGCAAAGTGTTTGCTGAATGAGAAACATTTCATCACCCCACCCTGTTTTCCTAACTGAATGCCTATTCAATAATTTGGGTATATTTTTATTTGATAAGATGAAAAGATGAACTCTCCACATTATGAAGGCTGACAGAATATTCTTTTTGTAGGTGCTTCACAATATGAATTTGAAATGCTAGCTCTTGGTTTTGATCTTTGTACTCAGGTGCTGAAATGTTATAGTTAAGAAAAGTTGTCCCTTCTCTCATTTATCACCATTAAGGTTCCTGAAATAATCTTTAAAGAGTCCAAATGCTGCCATAAAATGTTCGTCACTGTTTTCTCCTCAAGTTGCTGAATTTCTGGGTTGTTTTGAATTTTTAAAATACATTTTAAACCTTAAATATATAAAACAAACATAACTAAAAAAAAAAAAAAACACCACTCCAAACTTGTTTACCATCTAACTCAGGCCCCCAGTTTTCAAATTCTTCCACCCCCTTTAGTAGAATGGCACATGCTCTTCTGCTGTGGCACAATGGAGAAAGGAGAGTGACCTGTGCAACTGCCACAGTCCCCCAGCTTCCTGGGAATGCTCGCCTGACTTTGGGCAGACATAGATGTGGCCCTAATGAGGATTTTGACTGTGTTGTTTTACAGCTCTATCCAACACACAAGAGGGGAAGTGTGGCTTTGTTTTCAGAATTAAACTGTCTCCCAGGAAGCTTTCTGCGGTCCTCTTTGCTTTTCCTTGGAAAGGCCCCAGATAAGAGGCAGGCTGTTGTTCCTCCACAGCAATTCACAGGTTTACTTTTCAAATAATGTACCCAATCTCTTCCCTCCATGATAGCCCAGGCTTTTCCCTACAATCAAATGATGTGACCTGAAAACAAACACTTATCTGGAGTTCTGACTCAAAGAACTGGGTTCTACGGGAATTACAGGCTTTTGCTCTGGCTGTACAGATGTGACTAGGAATCCATGCCATAGTTCATGCAGCTTCGGAAATGGCCTCCATGTGCAGAGGCGTGCCAGTGTGTGGGTGGCCCAGGATGAAGCCAGCCCCTCCTGGGCAAGCCTCAGCGGAGTTTGAGTCTCCGAGCAGGAGACCTGTGACTCACACCTGTCCACTTATAATGTGATTGCCCCCACCACCAAGTTTGCATTCACAGAGCCCCAGATGGACTGTCCCCAGCATCCTCACTTGTGTGGTGGCCACTCATTCCTGTGGCCACTTTAACAGAACTTGGCTCACCCAAGTCCTTGCTTGGATACAAAAAAGCTGGCCTCTGACAGGAGGGGAGTGGAGATTCCCTCAGCATCTTCTCCCGGACATTACCTCCCTCTTTGTAGACGGCTGATTGCTTTCGAAATACCAGAAATCATTATTTTACTTTTACCTTACAGGGCTAGTGTGTGCTATGATTAATTAGCTAAGGCTCTTAGAAAACAGTAAATGCTGAGCAGCCCTGTTAGTTCCCCTTTTAAAAAGCACTTTAACAACCCCGGGCAGCTAGTTTGATGAGAAGTGCTACTTACTGCGACTCTCATGAGCATTCCTTTTTTTAACTGATTCTCAAAGGCTTTTCAGTCCCTCTGATAAAAATGCACTCCTTCTAAATGATCTGAAAATTAAGCAGGAACACAAATTTTATCTTTAAAAAAATCATTCCTAATTCCTAATGAAGGAAAAAGAAGAAATAATTTCATGCTAATTAGGAGGGAGACACATGGCCTGCATTTTGGAGATAAATAGGACAAGGGTTTGAGTTTAAAGTTTGACTGGAAAATGTCTGCCTCAAAGGAAAATTAAATTTGAAGAACTTGCTCACAGCCTAGGGATCCCACTCAAACCATTCTTACCATTTCCCCTTCTCTTTTCTTCCCCTCCCACACCCCCTTTCACTGCCGAACCCCACAGGAAACGGGAGGGAGTCTTTACATGGCGCATTAGTACATCTTGGGTGGTGCCGAAAAGCAGGGATTACAAATGCAGGAGACGGTTTGGCAGCGGATGTGCCTCAACCCAGCTCTACGGATTCCACATTCTTCCCCTGGAGGGGAGCAGTCGCTGCGGTTGCCTGAAAGCCCATACTGCCAGCAGCCAGGGGTTCAGCAAATGCCTGGGGAGTTGAAGGGTTTTCTGGAAACCTGTCCAATCTCTGCCTCTTTCTCTGGGGATGCACAAGGATGTGCCAAATGCATCCCGTTTGATAGTTTTAAAATTGCCCCTTACATGTGTTTTTAATTTTTATGTAATAAAGGAATGACTGCTTGATAATTAAAGAGCAGCTGGTGATTAAAATCAGTTTCGTTGATGACTAACAAACACAAATAAAACCTGATATAAATCTTTATGAGATCTGTGAGGCCCACAGCAGTGACAATTCCTCTTCTCCTAATCATGTTTTCTCTGAAGCAGCATGTCTCTCCACTTCCCCCAGCTTTGTTTTGGCCTAGTAATTCTCTGGCTTATACAATTGCTTATCCTTTAACCTCCTGTTTTTGATGACCAACTAGTGTTTATTTTAAATGTAGTTACTGGCCAATTAAATGAAAATTAGCTACATTTAGAGACCGAGTTCCTGATTACTGCTTCCTTTAGCATCTATTCATTCTTCTTTAGGCTATCTTGAAAGCAGAAATCCCAAGGCACAGATCACTTTGCCAGCGCACCTTAGAGTAGCTACCTGTTAAATCCAGAATTGAAGAAAGCAGAGAAGGGACGCTGTCTTCACCCATTAGGGCCTGGAGGAGGCTGGGCTGTTACTGGAGACGTTTCCTGTTGTAATTCAGTTAACCCTTTTTTTTTTTTGAGACAGGGTCTTGCTCTGTCACCCAGGCTGGAGTGCCCTGGTGTGACCTTGGCTGACTGCAACCTCTGCCTACCGGGTTCAAGCCATTCGCCCACCTCAGCCTCCCAAGTAGCTGGGAATACTGGCATCTGCCACAACGCCCAGCTTATTTTTGTATTTTTAGTAGAGCCAGGGTTTCATCATGTTGGCCAGGCTCGTCTCAAACTCCTGACCTCATGTGATCCATTCCCCTCTGCATCCCAAAGTGCTGGGATTAAGGAGTTAGCCACCGTGCCTGGACAACTCTTTTTTGATTCAAGACAGACTCTCCTACCAGTAGATCAGGCAAATTTCACAGAAGGAAAAAAAGGAGGAGGAGGAGGAGAGAGAAGCCTTTGTTTCTTTAGGGCAGCTGAAATCCATCTTCCTTTTTACCCAAAAACTGACACAACTGTTTGGGTGAAGGAGAGGCTCCCTTTCTGGGTTGGGTAGAGCACATAGGCTATAGCAGTCAGCATTAGGGAACAGCCGACCTGTAGGCTTCCTATTTTTAAATCAAAGCCATTGTGCTAATCACCCAGATAATCTGATATGGGTATCATTTATTCTGAAATGAAAACAAGAAACACATCTCTGATAGAATTCATTAGTCCAATCCTTTTTCAGTCCCAGCATGTGCTTCTGCAGATTGCATAATGTCTATGTAAATTCTATAGGTTGTATTTCAATTTATATTGCTTCCTCACGAGGAAATGTCTTCTCCTGTTGCCGTGGTTTGAATGTTTGACACCTCCAAACCTCATGCTGAAATTTGAGCCTCAGCATTGGAAGTGAGGCCTGGTGGGAGCTGTTTGGGTCATGAGGGCGGCTCCCTCATGAATGGCTTGGTGCCATCCTCATGATAATAAGTGAATTCTCACTCTATTAGTTCTCACAAGGGCTGGTTGTTCAGAAGACCCAATCCTCTTACTCTCCTCTCTCTTGCTGGCTCTCTTGCCATGTGATCTCTGCACACACCAGTTCCCCTTTGCCTTCCACCATGAGTCCTCAACCTGAAGTCCTCAACAGAAGCAGATGCTGCCACCATGATTCTTGTACAGCCTGCAGAACCATGGGCCAAATAAACTTTTTTTTTTTTTTAATAAATTACCCAACCTCAGGTATTCCTTTACAGCAACTCAGACTATGATGCCTATAGGGGTCAGTTAACTCTGTTTATAACAGCAAAAGTGGAAAATTGCCTAAAGTACAATGAATGATTGGGATTGGTTGAATAAAGTAAATTAGACATTCATTTAATGAAATACAGTTCAGCCATTAAAAATGGAAAGGACTTCCACTCTGTTGAGTGATAGAAGAGACATCATTCTTACACTTACAATGAAATTAACTGGGTTAACTTCAAATTCAGAAATTATTTTGGAATTTATCAGAGAGCTGAAGTGTCAGAACAAACAACAGGCTCAAAATCCAAAGGCACTAGGGTCAGCCTAAAGCCTGAGGACACAGAATAGACCTGGTGTCGAACCATGTTAAAGGTTTTGTCCACAATTTCCAGCCTGGAGACTGGGACCATGGTGGGGTTGCCTGGCAAGGTTTCACTGGGGCAGGTCTGCTGCTGTTTTCCAAAGTTACTTAGGGGAGCTGAAGGATTTTTGGGAACCCCTTAGTTAGCTGGCCCTTGCTTAGGTCAGCTTATTTCTTCCCCATCCCTTTCAGGGAAGTTATGATTAATTTGTAACATAGGAAAATGCATTTATCACAATCTGCATTCCATCTTTTCTCCCACATCCTGGTTGAGGTGTTTTTGTTGTTATTTTAATTTTACTTTAAGTTCTGGGATACATGTGCAGAACGTGCAGGTGTGTTACATAGGTATACATGTGCTATGGTGGTTTGCTGCACCTAACAACCTGTCATCTAGGTTTTAAGCCCCACATGCATTAGGTATTTGTCCTAATGTTCTCCCTTCCCTTGCCCTGACCCCCTAACAGGTCCCAATGTGTGATATTCCCCTCCCTCTGTCCACGTGTTCTCATTGTTCAACTCCCACTTACAAGTGAGAACATGCAGTGTTTGGTTTTCTGTTCCTTTGTTAGTCTGCTGAGAATGATGTCTTTCAGCTTCATCCATGTCCCTGCAAAGGGCATGATCTCATTCTTTTTTATGGCTGCATAGTATTCCATGGTGTATATATGCCATATTTTCTTTATCCAGGTTGAGTTTTTTAAAATTTACATGTAATAAAATTCACTTCTTGTGGTACAGTTCTTTCAGTTTGGTAAATGCACAGAATTGTATTATGGATCACTATAATGCTATACATAATAATTCCATGACTGCAAAGTTTCCTTATGCTATTCCTTTATAGACAAGCCACCCCTCAACCCCTGATCTGCTAACTACTCATCTATTTTCCTCCCTATAGTTTTGCTTTTTCCAGAGTGCTATATGAATAGAATCAAACAATTCTCGGTCCAGCCTCTCAAAATGCAGGTAAGATTTATCTATGTTGTTTTGTGAATCAATGGTTCATTCAGGTTTATTGCTGGTGGCATTCTATTACACATATGTACCACACTTTGTGGTACATCTGGGTTGTTTCCAATTTTTAAATCAGCTACAAACATTTACCTATAGGTTTTTGTATTGTAGGAGACCAGAATATGCCACCTGAAAATATTCCTTTTTGGCATATGGATTGTTTTGTGCTAATCATTTTGAGAAACTGTAGACACAGAAGATCAGAAAACAGAGTACAAATTATAAAGGAAATTTATGTGTATAAAGGAAATCTCCATTTGTATGGGTGTCTCCCTATGTACCATGAAGAGAAGGATGACATTACATTAGTAGAGACTCTTATCAGTGGAGAAGGCACCGGACTTAAATCTGTGTAAGAAACCTTACACTTGTTATCCTGCTTTCCTAGGCATCTCCTTATGATTGTCCTTCCTCACATCCTTCCCTCTTCGTTTTGTTTCACTAGACAATTGTACTTAAGCCTGAATTCAAAGCCATATCTTTGTGATTTACTTATTCCTGTGGGTATCTCCCATACATATGTAAGTTATATATGTTGTTCAATTTGTTTGTTTTCCACTTGTTAATCTATCTTTTGTTATAGGAGTTTGTTCCAACTAAGAATTAGAACAGTAGGGAGAAAATTATTTTTTCCTCTCCTATAGTTTGAACATCTCTTATTTTGTTTTGGATACATAGCTAGGCATGAGATTGCTGGGTTGTATGTTATGTATATGTTTAACTTTATAAGAAACTGCCAAACTGTTTCCCAACGTGGATGTACCATTGTGCATCCCTACCAGCAATATATATGAATTCCAGTCCTCAACATTCAACACTTCATATTGCCAAGTTTTAATATTATAGCTATTCAAATAGTCATGATGTGGGTTTTTGGTGTGGTTTTAATTTGTATTTCCCGAACGATTACTAATGAACATTTTTTATTATGCTTATTTTACATCTAAATATGTTCTTTGGTAAAAACTCTTGTTTCAATTTTTTGTTTTTAAAAATCGGGTTTTTTATTTTCTGGTTGTTGAGTTTATGAGTTCTTGATATATTTCGAATGTAAGTCCTTTGATAGATGTGATTTTAAAATATTTTCTCTTAGTTTGTGGCTTGTCTTTTTTATTCTCTTAATCAAAGAGCCAAAGCTTTTGCAAAACAAAAGTATTTTTAAATTTTAATAAAGTTTATCAATTTTTCTTTCATAAATCATGATTTTGGTGTTATATCTAAAAACTGTTTTCCTAACTCAGGATTTCTCAACAGGTGCACAATTGACATTTTGGACCAGGTAATTC